TTTTAATGTGTTAAGGATATAGTGCTACACACATTCAAACTGGAAAAATTACAACTGCAGGGCATTTGATTCCTCTGTTTGGAATCTGAGGGCAAAGTTGACTCCTACTCAGATCAGAGCTTTTAAGTATGGCTCCTGTCATACGAGGATGAGCCGGGAGGATTTATGTCTGTGGACTTTAGCCTATAGATTTATGCAGTGGAAGAGGCTGGAGGACCCTTCTGGCCAGTCTTGAGGGTAAATGAGAGATGGAGTTCTACTTATAAACCGTTACAAATTGGTCCTCAGTAATGGCTGTGGTGTTGATCAGGCGATATAAGGGGGCCCCTAGTGATTCCTGTGATAACAGCCACATGTAAGTCAACCACTGAACATTTGCTTGTGGCTGCTCTAGATTTTTGTTTTTATTGAAGGAAAAGGAGTATAAACATTGGGCACACAGTGCAGGGGCTGTGAAAGGGTTTCTCTTTTATTGAAATGTCAGTGTTGAACTCATAGTTGACACAGTGGAGCTGGAATTGTGCTTGAGCATCCAAATGGTAACTGGGGCTGGCAGAGTGGTTCACGTGGTAGAGCACCTGCCTAACAAGCATGAGACCCTGAGTTCAAACCCCAGTATTGCCAAAAAACAAATGATAACTATGATTTCTTCTGTTACTAAATGAGTTGATTAATAGTTCCATAGGTCCAGGTTTTATACATTGAAGAGGCAGGCATTTCCTCTTGCCTTTAAACTAACTTTAGACAAGCAGATTTTTTTCTTAGAGCACAAGGTTTTGTCAATGATTATCACATTTCCCACTAAGGCAGTGAGGTTGCGCTCCAATTACATATGCAGACTCTCTCCTTTGAAACATCTAATATCAGAGTAAATATTTACAGGAGTATCAATCTCTTTTATGTAGACTTGATTCCTGTTTACATTTATGTTCACACTTAAATGAAGATTAACAAATGGAAATAATTATTTTAGTTGAAATTTCTGTACATGTGAAATCATTTCTCAATTATGCTCAAACCATCTTTGGTCATGCACACAGTGGGTGACGAGGAGAGGAAGTTAATTCCTGGCTTCTAGCATGTTCTCGGTGGTCAGAGCTCCACTCTCACACTGGACACACTGTGCCAGGCACAGGCATGCTTAAAAGAGGGATATTCTGTGTGTTCTGGAAAGATTCACTTCTCATTCCACTGATTAATTTGCACTCTGATGTTTCTGCCTTTCCTTGTGCTGATTTCTGTTTCTGTATGTATTTGGCTAAAATATTTTAAGTCTTAATGTGCAAAACTGGGCTTTTTCTATACCCTACCATATTGCTTATTTCCTAGCTAACTCTTTAACTATCATAATTTCCATATTGTAATCAATCTTTATTAATAGGGTATAGAAAAGGTAGGTTTCTCTCTCTCTCTCTCTCTTTTAATTTCAAAGTAACCTACAAAAGCATTTGTGCTCATCGTGGAAAGTCTGGAGAATATAGATAAGCAAAAAAGAGGAAGAAAAATCTAAAAGTTAGGTCTGAAGATCCCATCTATATCTCTTAAAAAAAATAGGGCTGTGCTAGCCTATTATATCCTTAATAGAATATTGTAATGGTTATTAAATCAATTAACTCTGAATCTCTTTTTAATAAATGAGTCAGACTCTATTATCTAATTACTGTCAGCTGCTACCTTTCCGGAGCGCAGAAATGGTTATTTTGATTGAATTTTTTAAGCTTTTTGGCGCCTTTAGGAAGAAGCAGGGGGAAGGTAAGGCACAAACTGTGGCTTCCAGGGCAGTGTCTTAAGCCTAAGCCTTAGCCTTAGGTTTACCTAAAATTAAAGGTATTGACAGTGTTACCTCTTGAACATCAGCTTCGGAAAAGAAATAGGGTTTAACTCAGCCAGATTCCCCCGTAGTAAGGGCTTGTAGAAACTCTGAAAAACGGAGCTGCTCATTACGCATTTGACCCTGAAGTAATAAGCATGTGTGAGGATGGGGAGAGGGAGTAGGGGAGTGAAATGGGTGTTCTCACTGTCTACATTGGAGTGCCATGGCTTTTGCTTATTGTTTGTTGAGTGACAGTTGAGATATATCTTCTCTCCTACTCAAATTACTAGAAGATCAGTTTATTGGAAAGCACCTCACTATTTGACTTACAGTTGGAAGGCAGGTCAAGCTTCCAGTACTTTCTTCAATAGTACAATGTGTTTTAAACTGGAAAAATAGCTCTGGATGTGGTTATCATTGGTGTCACTTTGTCCCTCCACAAATAAAGGGTAGAGTACATGAACAATAAGTCAGTGCTGATAATGCACAAATACCTTTATGACAGTGGGTCAGCTTTTTGTGAATCACTTGACTGCATTGGATTATTCAACTTTTGGGGATGCAACTTCTCTTTGGTTAGGAAATAAACACTGACGAGCACATTTTCCTTGCACTCGTTTACATATGTCTTACTTATTTTTCATTCTTTATTTTTACAAACGAAATGATCTTAGTTGAGAAGGAGAGGACCACATTAAAGGACATCCTAACTCGCATACTTCCCTTTATGCTTTTGACTGTGAATCATTATCCCCTAGGGAATCCCCCCACCCCGGGTCTGTACATCATACTTTACAACTTTTACAGTTTAAGATCTCTGGAATAAATGGGTGCCAGCTCACATCACATAGGCCACACCTTAGTTCTTAGGCAAAACATAATATTTTATTAATTGTTATTATTTTAATTGTAGGTATTTATGAGTTGCAGTGTGAAAATAAAACAGATACAGTTTTTTAAATGTCATTAAAACTCTTAGTTAACCTCTTCCTATTCAAAATAAAGGTATGCAGTATTGGAAACAGAAGGCCTTTCATCTTGGCATGTATTTTGATGATTAACTTACGGTCCAATTCCCTGCAAACAGTAGTGTTTCTTGTATTTCTTAATGACTAAAATTTGGAAAATTTTTGGTGACTTTAGGATTAAAAAGAAAAAGAACAGATTAAAAAAAAAAGAAAAACCACTTGATCTTATATAATCCCTAAAGCTTTCGTATAACCCCTTGTCATGTCAGGAGGCACAATTAAACTTCCTCTTACATAATAATAGTCAAGGAATTTACTGTGCCACCCAAATGCAGAGTAGGTTTTTATCTCTTGTGAAATGTAGACAGTGCTGGGTGGCTTAATTAGTGCTTTGCTTTTCTTTTTACAAATTCCAATCCTCTGCTTCTAAAAACTCATACTTGTGTAAGAAGAAGGATTAGGAATACAAATAGAGTGATTTTACTCCTAGTCAGCTAATAATAACTCACTTTGTAATTGGGCCTTGGTGTTGCCAGTAATATCAACTGGTAAAGGCATGTTGTCTTTAAATGGAAAGGAAATACTTTTGGAGTTTAGATTTGTTCCCCACAGTGTGAATGTGTCTTGCATTCCCTAGGAGATCTGACACAGATGTAACCTTGGGAACATTTTTAATTATTGCAAATAAAAAAAAGGTAAAATTGTAGCTTGATAACAAGCCAGTTTAAAGGACAGCCTCTCCCCTCTCTCTTACTGGCTAATAGTCTTGGTAGCAGTGGGTGTGTGACATTGCCTATCTGTTCAGACTGTGGACCCGGAGGCTACACTGCTTGGGTTTAAATTCTGGTTATTCTGATTATTAGCCCTTCTGACTCAGAGCAGAGTTATAAACTCTCTGAACCTTATTTTTCTCATCTGCAAAGTGTCTAATAATAGCATTCCTCACAGAATTATTGTGAGGTTAAATGAAGGCATATCTATAAGCATGTTGAACAACAATGTCAAAAACAACAGTAAGCATGGTGGTACACAGCTATAATCCCAGCTACTTGGGAGGCAGCAATAGGAGAACTGAGGTTCTAAACCAGCTCAGGCAAAAAAAAAAAAAATATTAATGAGACCCTAGCAAAAAAAACAAGTCAGGTGTGGGGAGTACACAACTGTAATCTACCAGCTATATGGGAAATAAAAATAGCAGGATCATAGTCCCTATCAAAAGCACGCTTACACAAAAAGAATTGGGGGTGTGTCTCAACTGGTAGATCACTTGCCTATCCAGCATGAGGCCCTGACTTCAAATCCCAATATACCCCCAAAAAAAGGAGTAAAGTATTCTTTTTAGTTCTATTTCCATCTTCATTTCTTACCATTGCAGATTGCAGTGAGTTAACATAATCCTTGGGTTTTAAATTTGGTGAACTTTTCAATGAGGAAAAAAAACAACATAAAAAGAATGGTGTCTATCTATACTACAAACCCTTCGCTTTGTACAGCAGTTGATAGTCTATCAAAATAGTTTTCTACCGTCTTGTTGCTATCAAAGAAAAACCCAGGACTAGTCAGATGTGAGCTTGGAGATTATAAAAGTGCTTTGGAGAAAGACAGGCAGAGTAGATCTGGGGGCAAAATTAAAACTGTCTTTCAAAGTTAAGGGAGCAATGAAGTAGGAAGAATATGGAAGACTAGGAATGCAAAGCAAAAACCAAAACATGATAAGATACTATAAGCATGCACATACTGCCTGAAAGTCTTGGGAGTAGAGAAAGGAGGTTCTTATCAATGGTAATACCACTTAAGACCTTCCGGTGATGAGTAGAAGCTTCTAGAACCTTCTGGATAAATCAGAGGAGACACTGAAGAAGAAGCTCTCGCATTTTTCCACAGGTCTTTTATTTTAGGAATTTGGAATAAGGAGCCCATAAAATCATGATAATTAAACTAGATGCCTTACTATCGATACACTAATTATACTTCAAAAGCTTAATAAAAATGTATTAGCCCTAAGATAAAATCTGATTATCTTTGGATTTTAAATTCCAGAAATGTTTTCAATTTATATAAATTCATAAATAATGTGAAATAACCAGAAACCATACATACTGCTACATATTTATATTAGGTGATAGAAATAGTTTAATGTGTGCAATTATGGTTAATTCCCTAGTCTATTAAAGATAATGGTAGGTTTCACCTTTTCTGTTAATGCATTTTCCTTAACAGATGAAGGATTGAATCATGAGTGCAAACTCTGCAGCCAGACCTTCGACTCTCCTGCCAAACTCCAGTGCCACCTGATAGAGCACAGCTTTGAAGGGATGGGAGGCACCTTCAAGTGTCCCGTCTGCTTTACAGGTAGGAAGCTTATTTTAAGAAAACTGTCCTTCCTGCCGTACATCCCACTGCTTGGCCTTTTACAGATAGGACTTCAGTTCAATTTGAGGAGAAGATGTTTGATTTCTGCTGATTAGCATTATTGATTGCAGCCTACTTAAAGGCTCAGATGGGCAGGAAGGTTAACTGTCAGGACGAACAAATGGCATTTCAAGTTCTCTCACAAGTTTGCACTTTTCCATTTGGAAAATGACATCCATGTTGTGTTCACTTTTTTCCTGTAGATGTTAAAAGGTTACCAAGGCCAAGGCTGCCTGCACAAGACTGCTTTTTAATCACAGAACATTCAACGGGAAGTGCAGCCGTGCTGGCAGTACATGTCTGCTGCTGAAACCTGGACTGTTTCATAACACTCTCCATGAAAAAGAAGAAACATATTATTAAAATACTCCCAGAATCCTTTGAGCTAGAAAACAGAGTACATGAGACATTTATTTCCTATGAAATCGGATTTTTGATGTTGATACAAATATATGCTTTTAAGAAACATTTTAAAAATATATTTAAAATGTTTTAATGATGTGTCATGTTTAATACATGCAAAAAGTAGGCCTAATAGTATAGCATTATGTTCAGCAACAACAAAAAAGATACAAATCAGAAACCATCCTGGGAAGCCCATGGGAGATGAAATGAGATCGCACATGTTTCTCATACTATAACAACAGCAAAGTTATTTTGGAAAATCCTTGGTGATTATTTTGCATGTGTCTTGGACTCAGTGGCCAAACCCCTCAAGGCTATGTTTCTTTTTATTTTTGTCAGGTGGGAAAGATATATGTGTATCTTTCTCTCAAAATTGACTTCTTTGTTTGCAGAGCAAAATTCCAAGCATTGATTATTTACCTTCACCGAATTCAGCATATAGATTTGTGTCCTGCAATAAAATAGAGAGGGGCCATGTTCGTTGCACAGCTCACACAAGGAGTACCTGAGTGTGTGGGTGGCTCTGCCTGCAACATGTAGCTAATTTGGCTCCATCATTCCATCATTCCTTAAGCCACTCCTCCATCCTCCTTTGGGGGATTCTGTTTTTCTTCCTCCAGATTTTTATTTTTTTTATATATCTTAAGATACAAAGAGTCTGGGTTCTTTATAAAAGCTCATAATAAGTGGCCATAAAGGAGGTCTGGGTCAAAGGTCTCCTCACAATTAAGTCCCCTAATAAAATACTTTTTTCATGTTGTAGCCAGAAGCCTCATAAAATGTATGTAGTTACCTGGAAATGAGTTACAAATCTGTATAAAATCCCCATTTCTTTTAGTTGGTTTGAGTAAAGAGACAAAAATGCATTCATCATGAACAGTTTACATTTTCTGTACAGACAGACCTGAATTGTTTTAGCATGTCTTGAAGTAATTTAGAAATAACAATTAGAAAGGGGTGGGGGGAACCCTTCCAATATAAAGCATGTTAGGTGGAAAGGAAGTCGGAGTGGTTTTTAAGGTAATGAGAAATGTGATTACAATGTATGACTCAGAAGAACAATATTCTAATATTTTAGGTTGGCTGGCAATTAGAATAATTTTAATGATTAGAGTGGAGTCAAAGTCAAATGGCAACATCTTTAATAAATCCTCTCCCTGCCTATACAGATTAATATTGTAGATGCAAACTTTTTTAGGTCACAGTGCACCAGGCATCCATCAGAAGTCAGTTCTGCCAACCCAAACACCGCCTCTGGCATATACAATTTAATTATTAATAGTAGGTCTCCTAGGTAAACTGTTACACAGTCTTAGGGCCTTGTTTTGTAGTCATTAAAATTGAACATGTTTATATTATTGAAACCCTTGCATTCAGTGTGTAGGCTGAGTTGATCTTAAAGTATCCAAAGAGAATTTACCTGCCGTTCTGTGCACATTTATAGACAGTGCGCCAGAGTAGCTGTGGGATATAATTTTTAGCATTAACACATTTAAATAGAGAACTGTTTGGTAGCTGTAACTTTAGGCAAATACAATAAACAGGGTTTTGGCATCTGTGATTTCTTAACCTGTATGTTGCTGAGAAATAGGAGTCATTTCTTTTGAGACAGAGCTGTGCATTTGACAATCTTCAGCTTTATTTTAAAAGATTTATAGGGAGCAGAGCCTCCATAAACCGTTACTTTGGAACTGTGTGGGTTGAATTAGGTGTGCAGTAGAGTGCATCTTAACAAAAGCCAGAGACCCAAGCATGAGCAAATGTGACTGTGTTCTGCCCATGTGTCCAGCGGCCAGTCACACCAAGGAGGCGTACCATTCCTCCTGCTCTGTCCACTCATGGGACCTCTTCGGCTTGGGTCATTTCTGAAACAAAGTAACCCAGGTTCACCATTCTTTTATCATTTCAGTGTTTGTTCAAGCAAACAAGTTGCAGCAGCATATCTTTTCTGCCCATGGACAAGAAGACAAGATCTATGACTGTACACAATGCCCACAGAAGTTTTTCTTCCAAACAGAGCTGCAGGTAATGGCCTCATGAGGAAGGCTGGGGTTGAACCTGGGTGCTATTCTTACAGGAAACAAGAGCATTTTAAATATGGATGCACGGTATCACTCACCCTGAGCCACCATGATGCTTTGTGTGTTTGGGGGCAAAGGGAAAATTAGAGACCAGATTAATAGACACCAAAGTAATTTTGCCTCTGGCTGCTGTCAATCATAAAAAGAACTAGAACAGACCTATAATTGGACCTTCTGACCCAGTGTGAGATATGTAGGGGTCAGATTTATTGGACTGTGGGAACATTCACCTCACTTGTCATGGCTCATTCTCCCAAGTACTGTTTTATTCATGCTCTGTTCCCTCTGGGCTCCACATTGGATAGATGTCCAGGTTATTGTTGTCTGGAGGGGCTTAACATTGGAAGAGAGAAGGGAAGGAAGGGAAGAAGCTATACTCTCGTCCAGCTGTATCTCTTCCATTTAATGAACTAGAATAGTCATTACTAAAAGAAGTCTTATGTTGAAAGTTTGGGCACCCAGATATGCTGTCTTTGGCTGTGAGTACCCTACTTACTAGAGGTGTGACTCAGCTTGGTGCATAACTTCTCTGAACCTCAGATATGAAGAAAGAAATTAATAAACTTTACACTTACAGGGCTGTTGTAAGATGAAAGTAAAATAATGGCATGACTATAAGATATAAAATATAAAACATAAATGTTTGGCTATTTGGATTGTTCTTTGAAACAGACTAGCAGTTAAAGTATGAGTCAAAATGCTGGGATATGTTTAGTGGTAGAACACTTGCCTAGTATACATGGGGCCCTGGGTTCAGTCCCCCGAAGAGTCCTGGGTTCAACCAAGCTTAGTACACATGCCTACAATTGCAGTACTCATGAATTCAAGACCAGTCCGGGCTATGTAGTGAGTTCCAGGCCAGCCTAGCTACACAGTGAGACCCCCCCCACCCCCAAAAAAAAAAGAGAGAAGGGGAGGGGAGGTGAGGGAGAAAGGGAAAGGGGAAGGAGGAAGAGAGAAAGAGAGAGAGAACTAGAATTTATTCCATTTTTTATAAAGGAAAATCATTCTGTTTTGCTGTTGTTGTTGTTACTTCATCTGTAAAGTGGGTATGATATTTTATTCTCATTTTTCTGCTGAAATAGTATAAGTTACATGCTTTTTCTTAAATCTTGTTAGTTCCTATGGACGAGAATCAAGTTGAAATTATTTTGTTATTATGAGCACTGTTATTATAAATAAAGACATTTAGCCTGAAATGGGGAAGGGATTCATTTTTGCACTGAACCCCTGAAGCAACCACATTCAGGGTAGATCTGGTTATCTGGTAGAGGCAAGACCAAGGAATACAAAACTCACCTGCTTTTCATTCTCCCCCACCTGGGGCCCTGGGGTAACTTTGGGCCTCCCTGGTCTCTGGTGAAGCCAATTCAGGGTAAATTATGTATCAAAGTAAGGAACTGGCAGTTTATCTTCTCAGTTATCGTTCTGTAAGTGAATAAATAAGTTAGATGAGATTTAAAATATATTGTTAAAATGAACAAGCCCATTTATTTGTCATCATATATCTGTGGGTTAAAATTAAAGTTGTTATTTTATCTTTTATTACATCTGAAAATTCAGTTCGGTCATATCTGTTTGCCAACTTAATATAGAAAATAGGCCAAGTTAGACTATAGCTATGTCTTATTAAAATTATGAAAATTTGCTTGAAAAGTTGTATTCTTATTATAGTAGGTGCCAATGAATAAGTCATTTTGAGTATGGTTTTATGAATCTGTAAAAAGATAGTCGATACAGCTAGTGATATTGTTAATTAGTATGTAAACTGTGAAGCAGAATGAATAGTTCAAAATCAAAGTTACAGAGATTCTTTAGGGACGGAAGTCTGTCTAATATTCTTGGAGTAGGGTATTTGGAACTAACTTCCACTTGTGTAGTATAGTAGTTGAAAATACTCTGGTCTTCAACGTCTTTCACTGAAAGATCCCAACGTGGCAGTGGGGGTTTCTGAGCCATTGTAGATCAGAACAGAATTAATCAATTAAACACATCCTTCAGGACTCCAGGTCCCTTAGGATATATTTTATGGTTCATGAAACATACAGCATTCATTCTTCTGCAATTAATATAGACCAGTGGTTCTCAGAAATCGCTGAGAACCATAGCAGGCTTTGGTTCATGTAAGTTACTATCTATTGATATTTTCCATAATGATCTATTATTTTACCTAATTCCAAGGTTGAGAAATGTGTTAAACACAAGTAAACATGTTCTGTTAGCTGTCAGAGAAATGATGTCATCATACATCCTGTAGCATCTAGAAAATTCTGTGCACTCTTGAGGTGATGAGAGTGTAAAAGGCAAATAATGTCTGATATTATCAGGAAGATAGTTTTGATCTTACAGTCCCCCTAACCACAGAGGTCTAGAAGCTTCAGTACAGACTCTTTCTGAGTTGTTAGGACCTCTGAAGTCAAGCGTCTCAAAATATTTTGGACTCATTCATTCTAGTTGTCATCTAGGTGCAGCAAAATGTGTTCCCATGAAAAGCTGTGAGCAGTATTTTCCAGTTCTACATCCCACAATTTATGTATTATTTGGGGGTTTTGTTTGTTTTGTTTTTGATAGGCTCTCGCAAGCCTGGAAGTCACTGTGTAGCTCAGGTGGCCTCAACCTCATGATATATTTGGTCTTTTCTTTTTTGGGCAGCATTGGGGTTTGTACTCAGGGCTTCATGCTTGCTAGGCAAGAGCTCTTACCACTTGAGCCACTCTGCCATAAATACTGAAGCTTAAGATGTGCATATCCCTTAGATAAGAACAGTACTTACGGTTAGTATGGGATAATTACTACAAATCTGAGATGAAATACTAACTCTGTAGTCAGTATTTCACAAAGCTGTGATCCACAGTCATGGGAATATTTGTGCAAGTCTATTTTCTAAAATTCCCAGTAAAAACAGTGGCTTTAGTTTCAGTAACATTGACAAAAGTGGACCCGAAGTTTACTTTTTCTAGCTTTGAGAGTGTTTTCATTTTTATGTTTTAACCTTAGGGGTTCACGGTCCTGTGCATTTGCTTTCATTACCCAAATTACCTTAGAGGATGGAATTAATGTAATTTTAAATATTGATTTCTTGTATTCACTATATAGAAAATGGGAAGGGTAAATATTCAAAACCCATGTTACTGTTCTGTTAATTGCTGGGATGAGGGGGAAAATAAACTAAAATTGAGAGAACAGAAAATAAACACTGTAACCAAAATAATAAGAGTAGGAAAATGTGTTTTATCAACTTACTGTAGTTCACACCTTGACTTGTAAAATAAATGTAAACGTTAAACCCCTTGAACTCATCTGCTTATTTATGTCACTAAAGTTCATCAAAGAATTTACATAGGTGCCTGTGAAACTGAATCTCAAAGAAGCGAAGCCCGGTGGAGAACTTAAAGTGTGCACTTCATTTGCCTCTTAGTCAGTGTAAGAATGATAGGGTAAATTTAGAATAAGCACCCCAGAACTGCCTGGTAAAATCTCTATGGAATATCTTCTAATGGTGTGTAGGTGATTTCATAGCCATAATACTGTTTATGCCCAGTTAAAAACATGAAATCATTTTTTTGTGGATAGAAAAATGCTTTGTACTGGCCAGGTGCCTATGATCCTAGCTGCTCAGGAGGCAGAGATTAGGAGGATCACAATTTGAAGCCAGCCCGGGCACATAGTTCATGAGACCCTATCTCAAAAAAAAAATCACACACAAAAAAAAAGGGCTGATGGAGGAGCTCAAGGTGAGGGCCCTGAGTTCAAGCCCCCAGTACTGGAAAAAGAAAAAAAGAAATTCTTTGTACCTATGTATATTTTATGTATGTATGTACATATGTATATATATAAATAGAGAAAGCAATGTTAATGAAAATTACATGGCACCATATTTGTGTATGTGTAAAATATACATGTATGTACACACACACACACACACACACATATATATATGAATGTATGATACATATTTTATGGTAGTAAGTTGCTTTCATTTAAATTACCTTCAGAGACAGTCAGAGTTCAGATAAGTCCCCATTCTGTGCTGTCCATCTTACTGAGTTCAGCACTCCAGCTCCATCCCTTGAACCTCATCTTTGACCACTCTTTTTTAGAGTTAGGCAAACCTAATAAAATCTCTATTTCTATGGAGCATTCCCTCTAGGACACAGGCACACCTTTGCCAGTATAGGAGCTATGAAACCTTGCTGACCTAAAGTCAGAAATATATAATGAATTAAATTCTAGTTCAGAGATATATAATGTAGGATTCTTAGCAAAATGTCACCTGTTTTCTTTTTGGTAGAGATTCCCCTGATTTTTGCAAGAAAATCTGATAGACTTCAAAGCCCACCTAGCATGCAGCAGGAGGGGAGATGTGCTTTGGAATAAGAGCCTATTATCTGAACTAAATGAACATTTTATTATTTTAAAACTAAGTGAACACGTTCAGTGTTTCACATGTTTTCCTAATAGACCTCACATTTTTCAGCAAATTTAGGGAAGCTGCTTTGAGAAGGGATAGTATGGTCCAAGAAAAATATCTTACAATGCATATTTGTATCCAAAGTGGTTTATACAGATGTAAGCAAGTGGTGTCTTTGTAAAAATTGGTTGAATAGACCACTTTCTAACAGTAGACAAATGGCTGCTTAATTAGTGCCTTTAGTAAAGCTGCAGTTGGATGGCAGTGGTGAAATTATCCTCTCCCAATCTGTCCGCTTAGAACATCATCATGTTAGGAATTGAGTGGAGATGGAGGGAATTCCTACAGTGGGGCAGAGCAAATTGGAACTGTAGGTTCTAAGATGCTGGTATTTCAATCAAGGATTATTTTGATACTTTGCCCTTCCCTTCATTAAATCATGTGCTGTGTTTTCCACATTCAAAATCCAGTAGTCATTTGACATTCTGTGGGGTGTACTAAGACTTTCAGAGATCACTAAAGTTTGAAATATG